AAAGATTAAATGTGATTTATAAGGAGTTATGGGGTACTACTTTGATTAGAGTGCAAATATGTTTTCTAATTGTTTAACAACAATCTTTTTATAAAAATGAGATTTATTTGCATGTATTATAATCATAAAGAATAGAAGTTGCACTTAAGGAAGTGTAAACAAGTAAGGTACCTTAGATAGGCTAAGGAATCATTTAAGGGAGATTTATAAATGTTATATTACCTTAGAGTGTTGAAGTGGTCAATACTCAGGAAAGGTAGATAAGAGTAAAAGGCATGATCTCGGTGGTAGTTCACCAATGAGAAGGTGTGGACTTTTGATATTATATGACACACTGCTAGTACTTAGTGTTGCCTTATGTATTGTGGGCTCAGTGCACTAAAGTGGTTAGCATATTGAGTGTTCGACACCTCTCAGTGGGAGAGGGAATCCAACATATGAAGTGTGAGGTTGAGTGCCTAGGCCAAGGTAACCCTCATATGGAAAGTAAGCTGGGCTGGTTCTGGGAGGGAGTTAGCTTCGATGCTCAGGATTCACGTCGAAGGGGCATAGGTAGTTTGGTGGATTAGATCATACCTCAGGTTATGTTTTGTGCTTACAGAAGTACAAGTGGGTATAAGGTTTACCTGCGAGTTAAAGAGTGCCAGGGGCATTTTGTTGGTCATGAAAGGCCATACTGGCCTATGTCATGCATTCATGTATTTTAAATGACTAAATTATATACTATATTCAATTTATTATTCATTTTTTTGATTATGACTTACTTTATAATGATCAATGTAGATTTCTCTGTTACTGAGACTGTGATTGTCTCACCCCTTTCTTTTCAATATTTTCAGGTCTAGGCAAAGGAACCAGTGGAGGACGGGGACATAAGTAGAACTAGGAGTTGTTTGTGGATTGTAAAGAACTGTAACCCCTTTCTTTTAAGAAAATTTATTGTAATGTATTTAGGATTAGGGTGCCAATAGGATGTGATTATGTATATATGTATGTGAGTATGTGTGGATTGTATGGCTTGTATATGAATTTTTGTTTGCTTGTAGACTTATGGCTAGGAAACTTGGTTATGGTGTATAATTTTGGTGGATTTATTTAGTAGACCAAGTTTTCACTACAAGTAAATATTTATTTTGGTATATATGTGATTCTACAAGCAAATGTAAAGTGGTTGCATTGCAAATGGTATGCTTTAGGTAAAAATACACCTTGGATAGAGAGAGTGGGTGCGTGGGCCCTACATAGATCTCTGACCCAAGTAAAAATATTTAGAGTGTGTATTCATATGTGTATATGATATTTAGAATGGTTTTTAGCCACTCTTGTGTAATTTGTGCATTTTGGGGGTTTAGGGTCCATTTTGGGAAATCGCACTCGGGTGATCAAATTTTAGTATGAAATATTTTTCTATCATTTAAATGTTTTATTAGGTTTTTTTAGTCCTATTTGATATGTCCAAAGTATTTCCACAGGTTTGTGACTATTAGGATGAGATTTGAACAATTTTAAAAATGGTTTTTACTAAAAAAACTGTACTTTTGCATCTGGATGTTTAAATCTTAATCTAACCATTGTATTTCTCTAAAATTTAGGTCACAAGTAAAAATTTTTATAAGCTTCGTATGGGCTTTGGAATCATGTTGATCGAACACTGGACGGAGAAACAATGCACTCCAAAATTTCATCCAGAAGAGTTGTCATGACAACAACAGTGATGATGTTGCAATATGCACGAAATTCAATCCATCTACTGGATCTTTTCAAAATTTGGTATACTAATAGTAATCTTTAAAAGTGACATGTAGGCTTTGGAATCGCTCCGATTGGAGGTCAGATGATGAAATGGTGCACTTTGAAAGTTAGTCTGGAGGTGATGTCATGACAGCAAAAATGACCAAACTTGTAACATATTTAATTTTTAATCAGACCGTTGGATCTTTTTAAAAATTTGGTATACTTATAGTACCCTTTGAATGTGACGTGTGAACTTTAAAATCACTTTGATCGGAGGTCGAATGGCAGAACGGCCCCTCTTGAAAGTTGGCCCAAGAGGGCTGTTATGACAGTAATTTAATGCTATCATGACAGTATCTTTTTATCCCACTTTCATCTAGCTTGCTTCCATACGCTATAGGTAGAACCTATAAATTTTTTTTAAAGGCTTTAAATGTTTACTTTGTAATGGTGTATCTGTTTAGTGATTTAAATGATTTATTTCTTAAGTTGGTTAGAGGATCAACTCCTTAACTACACTTAATTTATTTAAATTATGTGATTTTTGGATAACACTCAGGGTAAGTGTTACATCAAGTGCTTAGGTTTATCAACTCTCAATAGCACTTAAATGGTAAACATGCTAAATGGGTTGAGTATATTTAGTGATTCACTTTTATGGTCAAGCATTGTTCAAGAACAGAAAACAAAGTGGCTAATGCTCTGAGTCAATGGATCAACTTGCTGCACACTATGAGCATTAGTGTTGTTGGTTTTGAAAACTTGAAGGAAGACTATACTTCATGTCTAGATTTTGGGATAATATACCAAGAAGTTAACAGTGATAACCATCATGATCATGTTGATTTTCCTCCTTAAAGACGGTCATCTCTTTCGTGGAAACAAACTGTGCATCCCACGAACTTCTATGTGATATTTTTTTTTGGAAATTCCATGCTAGAGGTTTAGCTGGTCATTTTAGGATCAATAAAACTATGGCATTAGTTGAAGACAGGTTCTATTGGCTTTTGCTCAAGCGTGATGTGGCTCGCATAGTGTCTCAATGTTAAAATTGTCAAACTTCCAAAGTTAGAAGACAGAATAATGGTTGGTATACTACTTTGCCAAACCTTGAGGCACCTTGGAAATACTTGAGTATGGACTTTGTCTTGGGATTGCCTCAAACAGCTAGAGGTCATGATTCTGTGTTGATGGTTGTAGACAGATTCTCTAAGATGGCCCATTTTATTCCCTGTAGCAAGACCACGAATGCTTTCTCATCTTGCAAAATTGTTCTTTAAAGAGATTGTGCATCTGCATAGGTTACCTACTACCATTATATCCGATAGGGATATTAAGTTTGTTAGCTACTTTTGGAAAACCCTATGGAAAGTTTTTGGTACCTAGTTGAAGTTTTCTTCTGCTTTCCTACCCCAGACAAATGGGCAAAACGAAGTTACTAATTGAAGTTTGGGTAATTTACTTAAAAGTTTAGTCAGTGACAAGCAAAGCAATAGGATTTCTACCTATTATCAAGTTTGCATATAATAATTCAGTGAATAGGTCCACAGGCATGAGTCCCTTTTAGATTGTTTAAGGTTTTAATCCTAAACAGCCTATTGACCTTATGGCAATCCCGTTGATATTTCATACTTTTGAATCTACAGAATCCTTTGCCTATCGCCTTCATGAATTACATATTGAAATTAGGTGAAAATTAGCAATGCGTAATGATCAATATAAATTATCTGCTAATACTTATCGTTAATTTCGAAGATTCAATATAGGTGACTATGTTATGGCTTGAATTCATCCAAAATATTATCCTAAATACGCTTTTACAAAGTTGCATGCTCAAGCTTCTGGACCTTTTCACATAGCAAAGAAGTTAAGATCTAATGCCTATCTTTTAGAGTTACCTCCTAACATGGCCATAAGTCTGGTTTTAATATGGAGAATCTTTCACCTTATTGAGGAACTTTTGAGCCTCCCCTATTGCTTTCTGATGATTTTGCAGGTGCTCAGCCTATGTAAGTGCCAATCTCACTGCTGCCATCTATCTCACCGTTAATGGAAAATATCAAAACTATTATGGATGACCAAATTGTCCTAACTTCTGAGGGGCCCCTCTATCGTTACTTGGTTCGCTGGAAGGGTTGTTCAAATGAAGATGCCACTTGGATCTCAGTAGCTAAGTTTAGACAACTTGATCCTACCCTGCTGGAATCTTATCAACTTTCTATCTCTCCGGAGAAGAGTTCTTTGTAGCAAGGGGGAATTGATAGAAAACATGGGAGATATTATTCTAGAAAAAAAATAAATTATCTTTATGTTATTTTAATATTTTGTAAGAAGGAAAATCTAAAGCTAAACTTTATATGGACAAGGTGTTAAGGTTTCCTTTTGTGTTCTTTTTGTAAAAGGAAATCTAAAACTTAGCTTTATATGTAGATGTAATTAAGGCTTCCTTATTTAGGCATTAAAGTTTTGTTAAATAATTTTGATTGCACTTGTAATGGACATACTTGATGAATGAGATATTGTGATTGCACATTCAAAAGGTCACCCCCCCCCTCTCTTTGTATTTTTTCTGTCTCCCTTGCTCCCTCATTGTTTTGTTCTTCATTTCTCCCTCCCCATTTCTGGTTTCTCACTACTCTCTCCCTCTCTATTCAGATCTGTGTATGTGTGTGTGTTACATCAAATACTGAAGGGTTTTTTTAAAAGCGAGTGCAGAGGAGTCAATCAAATCTAATTTGAAACATGGATAGCAAAGCAACAAACGAGAATTGCTCAACATATGTGCCTCATGAAGGAAATTGATGCGCAGTACTTAAGCTAGATATAGCATGGACATGGCAGTGGACTTACATGTATGGCAGGATATGTTATGGAGAAAGTTAGATTGATTTGTTTGCTCAACATACAAAATATATGAAATATTAATTAACCATTTAAGTTTTAAGTGAATTTATATTAAGATACCATATATTTAAATATATTATTATAAGTATTTTTGAAAAAAAGATTTAAAATATTTACATTGTTACATTTTTATTATTTTTAATCTATAAAATATTTCAAAACAATATTTAACGTATATGTTAATATTAATTTTTAAATTTTAAGACTCAATTTTTTTTTGAAAAAAAAAAACATTTGAGTCTTCTTTGTTTTTTCCAAGTACCCTAAAAATTATATTATACATATATTTTGACAAAAATAATTAATTTTAAAGTAAATTTAAATTTATCTAAAAATTAAAAATAAATAATCACCATTAAAGCTGAACTTAATTATTTGAACCTTTCTATAAATTTTAGCATGCAAGAATTACTTGCTCTACTATCAGCCATACTACTGTTGATTGTTCTGGTTTCCTTCTTCCTTTATTGTTCCTACTTGGGCTGAGCCTCTTGACCAAAAAATACTACATATATAAATAGAGGTAGTTGGCTGACAAAAAAATATTAAATACAGGAAAAATATGCTACTTTACAAAGAAAAATTAGCCAGAAATAATGGTTGTGAATAGAACAAAAGGTAAACAGGAAGACAATCTAATCTCAAGCTTCTGCGACACCTTGATGCTGTATCATCCTCCGTTTAGTTTTCTTCACCACCTTCGCAGCTGGTGTCCCCTTATCTTCCATGTCAGTTTGGGTTTCAATCCTAGCAAACACTGGCGTAGGTTGAGGCATGACCCGGCCACCCTTAAGCCCACCCCACTGAGTATCCATCTGAAAGCAAAACCAAACTTCAATCAACCGTACAACACATAATACCTCAAAAACAAGAGTGGTGAGGAGGGAGAGACAGACCCAGGTTGCTGCATCAAATTGGTGCCTGGAATAGCCAAGCTGAGCATATATTCTCCAACTCAAGCTTGGTGTAATGGGGGATAACGCAATAGCAATGATCCTCACGGCTTCCAATATAATAACAAGGTCCTACTCGACACCATTAAGAATCCAGCTCAGACAAAGGCATCTTAACAGCAGCAAAACTAGTCAGCGCATGTTTTTTTTTTTTTTTTTTTTTTGGGAGGGGGGGGTGTTGGGGCGCTTACACACCGTTAGAGATGTTGAATAACCCTTTCCCGAAAGAAGGGAATAGGGGGGCTAAATGTTGATCAAATACTACCCTCCTCTCAAATTATAAGACAATTTGAAATAAGATTATAGATTCTAATAAAGCTCAATAATAACATTTTACAAACTTTTTTAAAACAAAAATATAAATTTTCAAAAAGGCTCTTCATTTAATATTATTTAAATCTATACACTTAATCATGACTCTACAATCATTTGAATTATCTTTCCACTTGAAAGGTAATTTTGAAAAAACATAATTAAGAACACCTTATTTTTGTCAAGTTACCTTATATTTTGGGGCAATAAAATACCTTCAAAATTGTTTTATAATTTGGGACCGAAAGAGTATATGTTTCAGAAAATTACCTTAGCAGCTGCTTCCGAAGCAACACCTCCTTGCTTAAAAAGAGACCATGGTGCATGCTCATCCATGTAGGAATTACCAACATTCCCAATCTCAAGCACAGCCTCACAAGCTGATGACAGTGAGAATTTCTCATATTGAGTCCTAGCTTTCGCAACCTATAAATGGACAAATTAGTTAATGATCAGCTCAAAGGAAAAACCCTTCCCACCACCATGAAGTGAAATTTGGCTTTAAAATATGTCGTGGTTATCCAGCATCTGAGAACCAGAAGTCAGGGTATATGAGAACGCATGACTGTCAGCTTCTGTTTGAAAGTAGGAAAATGTGAGAGAACTCCCATTGTTGCAAACAAAGACTGAAAATACTAAATCTGGTTCTCAGAATTTTATCTCAGATCCGAAAATGTTCATTTGCATCCTTTTTTCCTCATTTCTACTCAAAAAAAGAAAGAAAGAAAATGATATAACTTCCACTTTCAAATCAATTGGGCAACAGAAGTACTAACTATCAAGAAATGAGGAAATTGATATCTTGACAATGTTGATTGAATTTTCCCAAGTCTTTCTTAAAATGAATATACGTATCTGTCATCACATGTATCCCCTAACTTTTAGAACAGCTTTTAAAAGGCACAAGCAATTCCAAAACTAGCCTTAGCATAAATAGAATGCGACTCTTGGCATTAATATATTCTTTCATGATCATTGGCACAAATGGTGCAACTTCATATACCTACAACTTTAGTTTCAAAACATAGGAATGAGACATTTGCACTTGAACCCACATGAATCATTTAAGTCATACTTTGGCCATTAAAACTAGAAACCCTATACTCCTATCTCATCCCCTGAAATAAAGCAATAAAAAGCACGGAAAAAGGGCTCTTCATCTTTTTGTCCGAGCCACAGTAAACAGTGGCATAATCACTTGACTTCTAAAATGACAAGTTATATAATATTTTAAGAATACTACAATTTCCTAGGGACTTTACCAGGCTCTCTACTTTGTCCTTGCATGCGTTTCCTTCTGCAGCAGTAGTGGAATCAACAATTAAAGTAGAATCACAGTTCTTTTTTAGAAGTCCTAGGGTACGATTAAGAAGATTTCCTGCCAAAATATTATAAGTCATGCACAAAGTTAGGTGAAAAATCCTGATAAAAGCCATGGTCAAGGTCATTCTTCAGCAAGTCTATTACGTACCAATTGTATTGGCAAGATGTGCATTAACAATATTGATGAAGCGTTCCTCTGAGTAGTCCCCATCATTGCCAAATTCCACCTCCCTAAGGAAGAAGTATCTAATCGCATCGGTGCCAAATTTGTTAACCAAATCATTTGGCTCAAGTGTATTCCCCAATGACTTACCCATTTTCATCCCATCCTAACATTGTCAAAAGTAAAAGCATTGTGCATGAAATAAACTCGGTCATAAGAAAGAGATTTGTAATCTCATGCTCATTCACACATCCCAGATTAAGTCAGAATATGGGTACTGTGCGGTGGTCATTAAGGGGCACAAAAATGCTAGTGATGGACCCAACCCATTCATCCATGAAACTTCAAGGAAAAAAGCAAAGAACTGCAAGAGGTGGGGGTGGACTGGCAAAGAATTCAATACAGAAATGTTAAAGTTATTCCTAGAAGAAATGTATGAAACTGTAAGGTTCAGAAAGAAATGTATGAAACTGTAAAGTTCAGCTCTTGATACCTTTGTCAAAAATCCATGACCGAATATCATCTTGGGAAGTCTCATTCCTGCAGACATTAGCATAGCTGGCCAATAAACTGCATGGAAACGCAGAATATCCTAAACAAAGTAAATAAGAAGAATAATTAGAAAAATAAATTATGCAGGCCAAAAATTTTGCTACTTTTCACGACTTTTTAATATATTTTGCTACATAAAAGTGTGGAATGACACAGGTTGCAAGACTACCACAAACAGAAGGCTGCAACGTGTATTTCTATTGGAAATTAAAAATCATATACCAAGGAAGAACAATTGCAAGTTGAAGCTAAAACAACATTGCTGTTTCCATTTAGACTCTGAAAAACAAGAGACATGAACAGAAAAGAGATCAAAGTTAAGAACAAATGTGATATAACTGTTGGAGTATCTCAATACATTATCGGGTTATTGCCTCTTGATTTAGCCTAATGATCAGAATTTATCCTACAGCCTAACATCTAGTTTCCATTATAATTCAATTTTTTTCATGTATCTCATTAACCATGGGATTATTCCCTCTTGATTAAGAACAACGGTATCTCATATAAAATTTATGTTTTATAGCCAGTCCCAAGTTTGGATAAAGGAGGAGGATTGGATTAAGCCCTCAACAATAAAAAAAAAACTCTATTGAATCCCACATGGATATGGACAATAGACATTTTGTGCTAATGATAGGTCATTGTCCTTAAATAATGTACTATATGGCTCAAGTGCAGTAACAAATGAGCTAGTGCCGCTGCATCGACACTCGAATGTATAGTTAAATGAGCATAGATTCCTGCATTATTCTAGACAAGCATATATGCACAATTTACATTGTACCTCGCTCTCCATCAGCAATCTCTCATAGGATTGTGGTGTGATAAAGATTCTTCCTAATAGCTCTGTCTTTTAGGGCTTGAGTGGAGGAAAGATAATCAGCAATGCTAATGAGAGTAAAATCTATCTCTTTGAATGCGATAACATCAACAAGAAGGGTGCTCACCAAGCTAATATAGCCCATCCATACCTCAAAGAGAACTCATGCTTCCACATTTCAGAGTAGATCAACTTACTTGTCAGCATTTAAAAATATTGTACCATCAATTATTCAATAAAAGTACTTTTCCTTTTCAATGTGAAGTGTACCAAATGTCTAAATACCAAAGGTTTGTACTGCTCTCAAACATGCACCTAGTCTGCCTTTAGCCAATGTCCATAATGACATTTAGGAACTTTGCAAGATCAAGAGTATACCAGGTGCTAGATTGTTCATCACAATTAAAGAGGAAAGAGGGCACAAAAATCAAGAACAGAATGGAAGGTGCAGTTAGTGAGTTCAAACCTACACAAATTACATATTTATACTGAGGTTACAACTCACAACTCACAAGACAATGTTATAATGGCTACTAAATAATAATAGTACAATATCCATAGCAATCAAAAACTCAATTCAACGTAATCTCCTCACTTATTTACAATCAGTTGGTACAATCAGCCCTTCCCTTCAAGCTGGAGCAAACGATATCTGTCATGCATTTTGCAAATGCAAGAAATGTAGAGTCCTCTAAATGCTTTTATAAGAAAATCTACTAGTTGATCATTGGAGTTGACGTGTCTTGTGGTGATAGCCCCAAATAGGATACTCTATACAGATTTGAGTGATTGTACTTGTAGCTATCCATTAACCAAAAGCTTGAGCTATTTAGGTAGACTAACCACAAGCATATATACTCATTTTTTTCAATCGTTTCAAATGGGGGACTTGTCATTGTACAAGGTACAAGTTGGAAATCAAAACAAAATGGAATCAATCATCATCCCATGTCTCCTTGCAATTTTTTTTAACAGCTTAAACATCAGTTCGCAAGTAGCTGTTAGATTAGCAATGAATCTAGCAATGTAATTCAATCATCCTAAGAAACTTCTAACTTCTTTCTCTGTTTGGGGAGATGGAATTTCTTGAATTGCCCCCACTTTATCTGGATCTACTTCTATCCCTTTATGACTCACAATAAACCCTAGTAACTTCCCAGAAAGAGCTCCAAAGATGCATTTTTTTGCATTCAATCTTAGTCAATATTCGCACAATATCACAAATAGCTTTCTAAGGACTTCAATATGACTCTCATTCTCTGCTAATTTAGCTACCATATCATCTACATATACTTTAATTTCTTTATGCATTTATTTAGCTCCAAAGATGCATTTATTTGCATTCAATCTTAGTCAATATTCGCGCGATATCACAAATAGCTTTCTAAGGACTTCAACATGACTCTCATTCTCTGCTAATTTAGCTACCATATCATCTACATATACTTCAATTTCTTTATGCATCATGTCATGGAATAGTACTACCATAGCTCGTTGATAAGTTGCCCCAGCATTTTTCAAACCAAAAGGCATCACCCGATAACAATAAGTTCCCTATTGGGTTGTAAAGGTTGTTTTCTCTTTATCTCCTTCATGCATAGGGATTTGATTGTACCCCAAATAACCATCCATAAAGGAATAGCGATAGCCTTGAGTAGTATTATCAACCAATACATCAATGTGGGGTAGTGGAAAATCATCTTTCGGGCTCGCATGATTTAAATTACGATAATCAACACACATTCAAATCCAACCATCTTTTTTAGGAACGGGAACAATATTTGCCACCCATTGTGGGTAAGTTACTACCTCCAAGAGTCTTGCTTCTAACTGCTTCATTACTTCTTCTTTTATTTGCAAGGACACCCCTGTATTCATTCTTCTTAACTTCCGTTTCTTAGGCTCAACTTTAGGAAGCAATGGTATTTTATGAGAAGCAATGCTTGGGTCTAGCCTAAGCATATCTTTATAAGACCATGCAAACATCTCTATGTATTCTTTAAACAGCTCAGTCATTTGTTCCCTTTCAGGATTATCTACTATTTTGAGCATTTTTTGATCCTCCTCAGTTCCCATATTAATCATCTCAATCACTTCTTCATATGGGCATATTCCCTTATCACTCAATTCAAGCATCTTAGAAAAAATTTAGATTACATCTTCATCATCAGACTCACAATCATGCATATCAGTGGCAACGAGTGAATCATCTTCATAGGGTTTATTAACCTCTGGGCGAGAGATGGAATTAAAAGAAACAAAATCCCTGGATGATAGGAATGAATATGGAATGAAATAAAAATAAGGAAAAGAAAAGAAAGGGGAAAAATGAATTGAAGTAGATAGGGTGGAATAAAGAGATAGACATGAATGCAACTGAAATTCATTTTCATAAATTACGTGCATTAAAAGTTTGCATTAGAGAATACCCAGGATCTATGACCTAAACCTGGGCTCAAAAAGTAGATAACAAAATAGGAACTACATAATTGAAAAATTACTCTAAGTTAATGACATTATTGGCTTCTTCAAACTCCCAATTTGCCAAAACTTTGCTGGAATCATCGATTGCAATTGAGGCACTTGTTCCACCTGCTACATCTTCATTGGAAGAAATCACTGAGACAGTTGGCTCACATATAACCTCGGATGGGCCTGGGAAGGATTCTTTGATGTGTGGGATCTCTAATTTACTGGTCTTTTTGCCTTTCACCAAACTTGCTTTATCTTTCATCTGGTCTTCCAAGGTAGGCTCATACCTTAACCCTTGGCGATTACAATTATCCAAAACCTTAATTGGACACATAATTCCTTATAAATGAGAGCCTAAACCTTTCCCTAGCATAAACCTACTCTTTGTCATGATTTTAGCAACAACAGAATTGATGTTATGAGTACTGTCACAAATACCCTCAACTTCCAAGCTTTGAAATGAACTCCATGATCCTTCTGTGTAGCCTCAATATAAGGGAGTGAGCTTGGTTTGCTCACCATGATTTCCTCCTCTCCTTTAACTTTTATAATTCCCCCATTACTGATGAACTTAACCTTTTGGTGTAGGATAGAAGGAACAACCTTAGCAAAATGAATCCATGGCCTTCCTAGCAGCATTGTGTAGCTTGGGTTTATGTTCATGAGTTGGAAATCCACTTTAAACATGCTTGGTCCTATCTCCAGAGAGAGACAAATGGATCCTAATACTTCTCTTCTTGATCTATCAAATGCTCTTACCATAATATTGCTTTTGTGTACACTTGAAGCTTCTAGTGCCAATGATTTAAATGTAGAGAGCGGCAAGACATTTAATGCTAATCCTCTATCAATCAATACTCTTGCAATTATAAACCCTTCACATTTCAAAGTGATATGCAAAGCTTTAGTTTAGGAATAGCAGTTTTTGTAACTTCCTCTTTCAAAAAGGAAATGGTAGAGGAGGCTTTTACAACATTCATTACACTTGCCACCTTCTTAGGGGTTATATTAAGCTACATGAAAGCTTGATTCAACACTTCTTGTAATGCTTGGTGATGTGTTTCGGAATTTAAAATCAAAGAAAGTATTGAGATACGCGCTGGAGTTTTCTTCAATTGATCCACAATGTTGTAATCACTTTGCTTCATAATTAATAGAAACTCATCTTCTAATTTTTCCATTTCTTTAGGATTATCTTCCTTTAGCCTGTCAACATTTTCATTTTTCTCTCTTACTATTTTCTTAATGTAAGATGGTAAGTATGGCTTTCCACTTCGAGTAATTCCTCCTGGGTTTACTATTTCATTGCTTGTTCCGACAATCAATGTTGCGTTTTTGTGGTTCTCCACAATGCTTTGATATCTCTATAGGACTGCTCGATCACTTTCATAGAGAAAGGGATGAGGCATGCTTATGGTCAATGTTGCTTGTCTTACGTGAAGTGCAAAATCTACAGAGGCTTTGTTGATCACAAAAGAGACTACCTGGACTTTCTCTTTTGGACTTGAATTTTTAATGACAAGCTCAATGCCCCTTTTCTCTACCATGCACACTTTGGTGTCTCCCTTCTTTACAAACACAATCCCTAATACCATAATTTTTCTAACAACTTCTTCAAACTGTTCACAACTTTCTATATCATGGCCTATTATCTCCTAATGATATTCACAATATCTAGGCATTTGATCATTGATATTATTTGTGAGGAGCATTTCTTGCATATAGCCATACTCCTTTAAGTGAGCATAAAGCTTATTCATAGGCATCTTGATCCTTGTAAAGCTTTTGAAACACGCATCCTCTTCTTCAATAACATTGACTCATTTTTCATGATTTGGAAGTGGATTAGTGGTAATGGTAGCGCTTCCCTCTTCTTTAAGCTGGATATGATTAGAATTAACCAGGTCTAGCACATTCCTTTTAAACGTCATACAGTCTTCTATTGAGTGTCCAGGTGTACTCATGTGGTATTCACAAACAGCATTTGGATTATACCATGCTGGGTAAGGTGGACCAAGAAGCTTATAAGGTCATGGACCTAATAATTGGGCTGCTAGAAATTTATGGTATAATTTAACATTTGTTAATCCAAAATTGGGCCACAGGCGACTATCCCTTGATTAGATATTTCTCCTCTCTCTATCCTACCCGTGCTTGTTAGGCCTGAACCCAAATTGTGGCTGTCTTTGTTTCCTTCCCTTTATTTGATAAGGGACATGAGGGCTTGTAGCTACTTGTCTTACAGGTTGAATATAGTTTACATTCCCATCTTTCGTTTTTTGGTCATAGTTCTTTCGTGAACTACTTTCAGCTTGAGAAGTGGCTATTTTCCCCTCTCGTATGTCTATGTTAATCCTTTCTACAAACAGCACATCCAATCGTTGAGACCACTGAGATGTATCAAACCAGCCATGAATCTCCCAAAACCAGTGCTGAATCTACCCAAGACAGACCTAGACTGCAGTAAAGCAGACCTGAATGACCTACCCAGAATGACTTTGAAAAGGAGTATGAAAAACAAGAAAAGGGAACAAATTGATGAGATACATAATTAGGATTATTTTTATAATTAGTTTTATCTAGATTATCGTTTAGATTCAATTTAGTTTAGATCAGGATTTATCTTTTATTTGAATAAGGATTGTGCGATCTTTGTCCTTTAGGATTTCTGTATTTTAGGTTAAGCAGAATGAAGAATAGGACTCTAAATAGCTCTAGGGTTCTTGACTTGTTCTTTTGGCGTACTTAATAAAGTTTGAATATGCTTTAGTCTAACCCACAATTTCTCTGCTTTTCAGTTATTTTATTTTTTGTTGTTTTTCATTCATCCCTCATTATATGGGATTAAGATAAGTTTACATTTACTTCTCATTATCTTTTATAGATTTTAGTAAATTGTTTAGAGCTACCCAAACTTATTATAAAGGTTTCATCTGTGTACAGCTTCCTTTGATGCATAAGATTTGAAAAATCAAAGTTTGGCCTCAAGATATTGTACTTTTCTATGAGGCAATCTCAAAACAAAGAGGAGCAGAAAACAAATTGTTGCTCAGAACAACGACGAAGTAGAGTTTCAAGCTCTTGCACACGGAATACGTATGGCATTGTGGCTTAAGAGCTTGATGAATGAAATGAGGCTAGTCGTTACTAGCCAATGAAAGTGATCAATAATAATTTACACCAGTATTTGCTAAAAATCCAATTCACCTAAACAAAACGAAGAGTGAGGAGATAGACAGACACTTCATTAAAGAGAAACTAGATGTTCGAGCCCTAGATTTCATTAATATCCCTTCCCAAGAGCAAGCTGCTAAACTCCTAACAAAGGCACCACCTAGAGTGAAGTTTCAAGGTTACTGGGAAGCTAGATAAGATATTTACTTCCCAACTTGAGGGTGAGTGTTGCATATTCATATTGTGTTCCCTTATACCCAAAAAGAATCCCAGAAAAGAGAAGATGCACTCATACTTGGTATGCATTATTCTGTAACCATGCATGACCCTTGCCCTGTCAAACACATGCTCAAAATAAATAAACCATCCATCTAGTGCTCTTATGATTGCAATATTAACTTTCATTTAACATGCTACGTACTTTTAGATTGAAAGAAAATACCAAGACTGAAGACAATTAGCAACTTATAGGAAACCAATTGATGTACAAATGAAATTTTGGCCACACACATAGGGAGGTGAAGATAGAAAGCCAAGGAATGCAATTCAGGTGTAAAAGAAACAGACTTGAAAAGAGCAACCACACAGATTGTCAAATCGTCAAATAATGAAATTGTTCGAAATAGTTGAAAGATGTAGGATCACAAGCTGAGGTGGAATAGGATTACAAACCAAATAGCAAACACAACGAATGACACCACCAATTTTACAACTCAATATTAAATGAAATAAAAATCTATTGCAAATCTCACCAAACAAAAAAAAAATGGAAATGCAATTGCAATAACATACCTTCCCAATCAAATGTACTTGAGCTGGCCATGCAGAAGAAACAGAATTTAGTAAATCAGACTGCCCCATGTCATCAGATAGTGCTGATATATAACTGCATACGCGCACACGAAAATATAGATGAATTTGCTTAATAAGCAATTCAATCCACTAAAAATATTAAACAGTATAGCAGATGTCTGGACTTTTGTGTTATATCTATGCAAATAGCTGTCAATAACCTGTGCAAAATAAGCAGCATGTTTACCCTTTAAAAAAGAAAAACAAAACAAACGAAAAAAACAAATCAACAATGCTACAGACAACTTATCAAATCAAGCCAAGGAAACGTAGGGAAGTGGTATTTGCAAAGTAAAATAAATTTACCCAAGCAAAGCATCAAACCAAACATATATAGTCTGTGTCTCGTCATTTGGAACAGGGATGCCCCAATCAACTGATGCTCGGGAAATGGAGAAGTCCCTCAGACCATCTTTGATCCAACTTTGGACCTTGAAAATAGTTAAAGAAGAAACTAAATGTCAAAGCACAAGATATTATAACTAAAATCCCTCCCATATAAGGTTTTATAAAATAATACACGGTTTATTGGAAAGCTCAAAGCTGCTCTAATAGCTAAACCAGACATACAGAATAACTATTCTAGAAATTTCGAGGATGGGATAGGAGAAAGGTGTAGTTGCACCATTGATGTATAAGTTATAAAACATTAAACTGATATCATAAAAATAGCCACCTGCAGCCCATTCAATTTAATACATTAAAATGTTATCATTTAAATGATTTCAAGAATTAATTACACATTGTATGGCTAATATGCTTATCTATGATTATGTCAAGAACTTTTTTGAACCTTTAAGATTAGGTCTACTACGTTCAAAATTTTATTATAAAGAGATACAATATGTCACATTTTATTCAATCTAATTTTCACTTGTTATTTATTCTTATACAATTTCATATCTTTCACAATTCCTAATAAAATAATACACTTTACTATTCATGATATGCATCACAACGTAGAGAACTATGCAAGCGAGAAAAAACGTAACAAAAGAGAAAGTTTAACGTTTTTTTTTTTTTTTTTTTTGGGTGCTGGGGGGATAAGCAATTAATATTTGAGGCGAAAGTCCTACAGCTCAGCTGAGTTTACATAATATAGTTACAGTATAGAATTACAACTTTCAAAAGGAATATACAGGTTGTTAGATCCTTATAGTTCTCTATAATAAAATTTTGCGGATAGACATCAAAAACCTTTCACGATAAACTCCTTTAGTTAAGAGGGAGGAATATTTTCTAGGGGGAAATCAATCCCAAGCCACAAGTGTGTAGCCCAGCTAGTAAGGAGTTGTGCTAACATAACAAAGAGTCTCAAGTTCATGCACTCGGTGTACAACTACATTAAAAGCTTGTTGTGAGAGCTTGCTGTCCTCATTGCTGGATGTGGCTCAATCCAGATTACTCAGGGTCTGGAGGACTCAGAATTTGAAATGTAGATGCAACGATAAAAAATGCCAATACCATTCCCCTTGGTTTATATATTTATTTATTTATTTGGCAGAAAGGGCTCTCCTTGATTTATGTTACTCTCAGAATTTTAGATATTTGACATCAATCATCTCTGAAAGTACTGATACTGAACGCAGTTCCAGTTGTGAAGTTTATACTTGCTAGACTCACCAGAGCATAGCAAATTTAAAATTACTCAAGACCTTGGTTCCCCTAGGAGGCATTTTAATCATCGCCCTTCACACATGCCAAGTGATAATGCCCTGTATTCTTTTTTCAACATTAGTTTTAGCCACCGCTGATTTTGTTCTACTTCTCTAGGTCACTAGGTTACCCAACACATAAGAGTAGTACCCAGTGGTGAATCTTTTATCTATAATGGAACTTGCCGTCTGCATCATAGTATACCACAACATCCCTGTTATCACTCTTTCTGAAGTAGATGCCTTGGCTAGACGTCATCGTCAGGCACCTCAGAATTCCATAAGCTACTTACATGTGTTCTATAGTGGGTTTATTCATATATTGGCTAACAACAGTCACCTGAAAACAGATGCTTAGTGTGGAATATGTCTTACCTCATTAAAACGGAATGAAGGTTGCACAAAATTTGGATTTTCGTTCAATGTTTCCTCCAATGATCTTTGATATTTTGACAGTGCAAAGAAATAATTAGCCTCTCTCCTTGAAACACAAGGCTTAAGGTGCACAGGACAACAATTATTATCAAGCAATTCACTCTCATCCTGCATCATTTTGACAACTAATGTCAATGGATTTTTTAAGTGAAAGAGTCACTAATATTATGAACAACAAGCCAAATGCAATAACCATCAAAATCTTGATAGCAGTGAGTAAATATCGAATCTTCATATGAAAGATTAGTAATAGATGACACAATAGAACAATATTTACATATATTTTCTTTTTCACAATAGAACAATATTTACATATATTTTTATTTTTTTCCTTAAAAATCATAAAGGTATAATAAAAATGCTTGCAACTACTAATTCCTGTAACCTCAAATTTGAATTAAGACCTTATATTCCTCACAGTTGACACAATAAAGTCCCTCGTAGTCATCTTGGTAAATGTCACCATTGGCAAGCACCCTTGAGTAAAATTCCTTCACCACTGCTTCATGTTTGCTATCAGTTGTTCTAATGAATTTGTCATAAGCAATATCTAACTGCCATAGGCATGTAACAACAGCAGAACATCACAAAAAAGTAATACATGTATAGAAATGATTGATTATCAATATAAATAGAATAAACCATGAGTAAACCATCAAAAATTAAATTACATCTTTCCACAGTGTCTTGTAAGATTGTGATATGATATCACAATGTTCACGAGGGGTGGAACCCTGAGCCATGGCAGCAGCTGCAATTTTTTCTCCATGTTCATCTGTGCCAGTGATTAGTATAACTTTCTTTCCTAGTAGTCGCTGCCACAAGATGGATTAAAAAATTTTGTTATAAGTAAACAACAAATTGCAGAGAAAAAGCAGATAGCTAGACATATATAGCTTCTGCTGAGAGGCTAGACTCCAAGCAGGTGGAAAACTGATGGAGGACTCTTGAGATCCAGAGTTAGTAGAGACAACGAAATTTTAAGCTTTATACTTGAACTAAATATTCATTATTTAATATGCATGTTATGAAAAGAGTTCAGAGCATGTAAACTCTAATATACAGTTATGTAAATGCATTGATATCTGATAATATCTCAATCTTTTTCTTTAAAGTTTTTCCTCAACTAATAAAAAATAATAAATTCTCCCTCGAGAAGCCATAGGAAAACCCACCAAAGCAAATTCATTAAATAAAAGCTCTGAAGTTAAAAACAATTAGCAAAAGTTTATTGCCACATAAACCAATTCACCAAATACTGCCAAAAACAAAAACTTAAAGATTACTACCGTTTCCATTCCAAAATGAATGAGTAAGCTAAATTTCGGGTTAGGAACCATAAAGGAACATAACTTCCTTCCCGCAAAGCAGCAGCAGAGAAAGAAATCCACAGCAAGATTCCAAAAGAACTGTGGTTCAAGAGAGAATGGAATCTACCTGAAAGCGAGCAATGGCATCGGCAGCAATAGTGGTGTAAGCGCTGCCCATGTGGGGAGGCGCGTTGACGTAGTAAAGAGGGGTTGTGATGACAAAGGGTTCCGAAGATTCATCTTTTGGGAGGGCATCGTTTTTGGCAGAGCAACTGCAGAACAAAGCTCCGGGAGCTGAGTTCGGACCAAGACGGAAGCGAGCATTGAAGCGAGCAGTAGATGCTCTGGAACGACCGGAAAGAAATGAAGGCTTTAGGAGCCATAGTGCGTTGTTGAAGTGAGTAGTTCTTACCGCCATTTCCGGTGAGATATCAGCGACTCAGGAAATGGTGACAAATTGACAATCCAGCATCTTCTGCCAATTGGTTGAGAGACATCACGGGAAGATTACGAAGAAGGACCTCAACAGTAAATTAAGGGAGGAAAAGCATCACAATGTGCAAATGTTTCGTTTTCACAATCTGCCATTTATGTTATGATTCTGCACATTTCTTCCTTATCCTTGAATTTTGATCCTTTCGTCCGGTTAATTAGTGATTAGGTCAATTTTCCCCCAATTTTCTCAAATATAAACCCTAATGGCCTTATTAGTATATGAGTTAAATGGCAGATTTCTCTAGATATATTTTTTACTTTTTGTGGTCTTTCAAAAATAATACAATATTGCCTTAATATAACCCTCAAACAATGTTAAGCGTTAAATCACTTGGTTTGACTAACAAATTTATATGTAGCAAGTTGAGAATATGTGACCACATACTAAGTGTCATTTGTCACACCTATCAAAGATTTCTCCTTTAAAGGGTTCTTCTGATCCCTTCCAACATGAAAGAAGTGGTCTTCAACAATACTCCACTAAAACTAGCTAGTTCTTCCTTCTAGCCTCCTGGGCATGGTTTTAGATCACAAAATTGAAATTCACCGAAGTTGATTGTTGGAACTCTAGTGAGCTTTTCCCCCTTCTAGTTCACTGCTTTTCTGGTGATGCTTCATGGTTTATTTCAAAGATGCTACATATGAATCTAAGGCTAGCCAACTCCATCCTCTAATATATGTTTTAGTGATTTGAGATTTAAGGCTTGATCTAGTTCTTGTTTTTATTACTTGATCTAGTTTTATTTTTAACTTCATCGTCTCAACTTCCCTTGAAGCTACGTGCAAGAGATCTCGTGTCACCATCAAACAAGGCAATATTGTTGAGCTTAGGTGTGATATTAGTCAACACAAATTATTTAACTATCAATTTTGGTGTAGGTTAATGTTAGAGCAACATTGTTATCTTTTTAAAAAGATGAAGAGCAACATTGCTCTAACAAAAAGTTAAAGACATTAAACGCATTTGGAGAAAAAATTTTAAGGTAGATTTTCCTTTTAACCTTAAAATACCAACGTGATACACACAAAATGTTTCACCACTAATGTAAGGATTAAAATGTAATATATTAATACGTCAAGGTCGATTTAACAAAAAATAAAGCACAATAGTAATTAAGTAATAAAGTTTTCACTTTTGTTCATGTTAAGTAAAATCAATTAAAATCAACTGATTAATGAAAATTGAAAAGTGAAATGAATAAAATGCAATAAAATTCTCAATCCAACAACTACAAATGTCTAAGGCAACTTAGAGTTAATAATCACTTGCTAGCTTTATAGATCTTGCTTTTACTCAATTAATTAATTTTAGAAAAAATTAATTATTTGGTTCTTATAATTTTAATTCAATTGTAACTTAATTCCTCAACTTTGAATCATTACAACTCAGTCTCTGAAGTTTTAACTCAGTTATATAAATCAGTCCTTAAATTTTGCCTCTTGCAATTCAGTCTCTGAAGTTTTAAATATTTTTAATCTTTATAATTTTATTTTTTAAAATATAGAAACTAATATTTAAGATGTTGAAACTTCAAAGACTAAATTGTAAGAGGTAAAGTTTAAGAATTGATTTATATCAAAGCCCAAACTTTAAAGACTAAGTTTTAACGAATCAAAGTTGAGGGACTGAATTATAACTGGGTCAAAGCTACAATGATCAAATGATTAATATTTTCTTAATTTTAATGTCAATTTTGTTAATCTAGAGTATTAGTGGCTATAAAGGCCTCTTGAACCTCAAATAATTTTCTCTCAAATTAATTATATTATTTTTAACTAAATTATCTAAAAGGCAACTTCAATTCCAATTCACTCTAATTTAATTATATGAGACAGTTAGGTATACTTCTATCCTAATTGCAAATTAGATAACAATATAATCCCATATTACTCAATTTAAGGGTTCAAATGAGATTCCTCTTTGTTAAGAAAAAATTCCCAACATCCAAATTCATATTTAATGGTGGTCAAACATCAAATAGACAATTAAATGCAAGATTGAACAATCAAAATCAACATTAAGCATAAGCAATGGGTAAAAACAAGATCTAACCCACCAACAAGTTCATAATTACTCTAGGTCAAATAGATTTAGCCACTAATAGCCATTAAAACAGCACAGAGTAATAATATTCAACAAAAGATACATCAAAATATAGAAAAAAGAAAGAAAAAAGCTTAAGAGGGATAATTTCTATCCCAATCATAAGATCCAAATGTTCCCAAGCTTCTCCAACGCTTTCTCTACGTTAGAATGCTCCTTGGACGTGTAGCTACTGGTTGAAGATGAATTACAGTGAAAATGATAGCCAGAAACCCTTAAAATAAGATTTTAAGTAAAGCTATGTGTTTTACTAAAAATTAGTCTGATGTCGCGACATTTAAAATTGGTACTGCAGTATCATTAGGCAGAATTCAATTTCTTGTGGCCTTCAAAATTATCAACTTTAGGCCCATAAATTGGGCCTCCCTATATGAATGAATATAACTTAAATTTAATGTCATAATTGATCTAATAATTTCTACAATTGTCTTGAAACATATCCCTACCCATTCTCACAAATAATCATCTATTACATCATATATTTGCCAATTAATTCCACTGGATGACTTTTAATTGCATTAAAAACTCCATTAAATTTATTAAAATATTGGAAGTCATCACAACGCAACCAAACATTAAAACAATATTAGTTTGAAAAAATAACAATAAAATCCCTTTGAGTTATGTAAATGACATTTTGGTCCCTTAAAATGTCATAATTCTCCTAAAGTCCTAAGGATCTTTCTACCATTAAAAAATTAATATAAATGACCAAATTGTCCTTAGTTCAAGATTTAAATGCAAACTTACGAATTGCTGTTGCATTCTTGCAATTTTAAGAAAAAAAGTTATAAATATTAGAACATAACTTTGAATGGCAATTGATATTTGCAACATTTGAGGAATATCAGAATTTTAAATGTAGACTTGTGAATTATTATTGAATTTTTGTGATTTTAAGAAGAAAAGTTATGAATCTTAGAACAAAACTTATAAATGGCAATTGACATTTGCAACACTTAAGAAACATTAGGATTTTAAAAGCAAATTTATAAATTATTGTTGAATTCTTTCAATTTTAAGAAAAAAGGTTGCGAATTTGAGAAAAAAAACATATAAATAGTAATTGATATTTGCAATAGTTGAAGAATATTGTAAAGTCCTAATTTTCACTTCAGACGTTACTTACACATCCACACCTTACATTGTAATTCAATATAATAAAAATGATATAGCCCTTAATTTATTTTTAAAATGCGAGATCCCAATTTCGTAAAAAATATGTTCAATAAAAAGGGCTTACGAAAGCTTAAATGCATACCCACTTTAAAAAAACAAATAAATAGTTTTCCAAAAATAGGCCATGCACCACAGCGGGCATCACATGTGCCATGACATGTAGTACAGAGCAACACACTTTACCTCTGTGACATGCGTCATGGCTTGCACAGCATGCACTAAGGCACATGTATTAGATTTTGCTATCATGATAGATTTCTGATATAAATTTTCGTCGCGTGCCATTTTCACATCCAATGTCCAATTGAAGTGATTCAAGTGCCCATATGTAGCTCACAATATAATCTATCTAATGAGATAAGTTTTGATATAATCCAATGGTCCAATCTTAAATTGAATGTTCAAGTGTAAAAAGCTACTTTTCTTTCAAAATTAAGCACCCAAAGTATTCAATTCTCATACCTTGCCTTATTAGACTATTTTGGGCCTTGAACTAAGTTCAAAAGAACTAAATACACTTGATTGACATATCATATCACATATATCACATCATAACCACAATTTGACCTTTTAATGCCACATTACACACTTGTGATCTTATAAGAGGTAAGGCACATAACCATATAAATATAAATACACTTATTTCACTTTTAACCATATAACCTCCATACATGGGGCTAAGCCTCACCATGTAGGAATCATAATCTCACTTGACTTAAGTAAATGGGGCTAAGCCTTACCATTTAGTCAAGTTTTACACAAATACACATCATTACACAATAATCTAAATTTATTACTAGTGGAATAAATTATATAATACAGCACATACCTGGATAGCATCTAAGCCTACTACCGTATTTGCTACTATGATATACTCAGCAAGATGCAACACATGTATACAAGCAAGATATTCATACTACCATAAAATCACCACAAATACACTTACGAACCTGTTTGAATAGGATTTGAGCCTGCCCACTTATTCACCACTATGACACACTCGACAAGATGCAATACAAGATACATAACTAAGTTTTCAAAACAATACAACCACACATATATGCATCTTAGTTGGCAACCAAATCATTAAATATGATTATATACATTCATTACACTACAAACATAATTATACTACTACAATTGAAGCTACTCCTTTCTCGCTTCCTTTCCCAACCATTTAGAGCTATTTCTACTAGTGCACAAAAGGCAACAGAGTAAGACATTTGTTCCAATAACTTGGATAAACCTCAAATACTGATTAGTAAGTAAAGTCAATAATAAGATATAAAGTAGCAACATTTTCAATAAAAGCAATATAGATAGGCATATACATAATATCATACCTAATCATGCACTATACTTATACGCTCTGATCCCCTTAGCGAAGCAAGCTCTACCCTCAGACTAGGACTTCCACCCTTACATGAAATAGGGCCTATCAAACTATAACATCTTGAATTTCTTAATCCCGTGATTAGTTGTTAATTAAGGGTGAAGTGATAATTAATGTAAGATTAGAGATTTGGATGGTTAGTTGATGATTTGTGCCTTTGGGATGTTGCATAAATAGATATGGGTGAGAGAATCACATTTTGGATTAAAGTAAGTGCACGTGGTAAGGATTATCCTCACTATACCACGTACTATGACTTGTGCTGTATGCACCATGGCACATGGACTAAAAAATGACCCCTTAAGTCATGAATTTTAGGTGATTTTTAGAAGGGAGAAATCAGAAACACACGAGTAAAGAAGAGGAGAGGGGCTGATGTGCTAGGCCAAGCCATCTCAGATCATTAAAAGGTGCTTTTAATTGATAACTTAGAAGGTAAGCTAT